AAAAGCAGATCTCCGGGTCTCTCTTCCAAGGCTTTCTTGCTTAGTAATCAGGCTCCAGGGAAGCCAGTTCCACGGGAGTGTGTAGGTTGCGGTTTGAAAGATCAGTGACATGGCTGCCAGCATTACAGCAACTTAAAAGCCACCATAGCCGCACAGGCTGGTAGCTGGCTGGTGGAACACCCATCTAGGACCAATCATAACAAACAGGGCGCTATTGAGGGCCCAGACGGTGGGCTCTGGAGAGAGAACTGGGTCCTAGTAGCTCTTGCTTTCCCTTTCAGAGCCCCGTGTCAGTCTCCCCTCGGTGGCGGTGGCATGGTAGTCCGCTCCCTGACTCTCGTGACTCCCCTTTCCCTACCAAATGCAAAGTCCACCACCATCCCAACCATCTGTCTGGCAAATTAGGTGGGCCTGAACTTCTGGAATGTCTCATCCTTCCCTGCCCACACATCCCCTCCCCTGCATAATCTTCCCTGGCCACCAACAGCCAAAGGACAGATCCCCTCCTGGGCCCCAGGCGACTTTGCAGAACATTTGGGTTGAATAGGAGCCACCAAGAGCTTTATCTTATGCACCTGGAGGCAGGGCGTCCATCTCATGTTGGTGCCTCCCGCCCTTTGCCCTGGATGCAGTACCTGACACCACTAGGGCCACAATTTGTGGGATGATGGAAGGATTTCTTTAAAGGTCTGCTGAAAGTATCTGGAGAGAGGGGAAAGGATGTGGCCCTTCTTCGAGCCCCTCCTCTGCACCAGGTTCACCCAGGGTTCATCTCCTCGGTGACCCTGGCATGGCTTTTGTCTCTATGTTGTAGTCAAAGAAGTAGGCTCAGAGAAGGCACTGCTGAAGGTCGCTCAGCTGGTCATCAGTCTCAGGGTCGAACCCTGAGTCTAATTTGAGAGATAGAGCTGGACTCAGGTATCCGACCCTGCAGCCCAGACCTGCTGCCCCAATCTGAGACCTTGGCCTCCACGGGGCCGTCCCAGGCAGCTCAGGTGAACCTCTAGCCCCCAGCTTGCCACCAGCTCATTTCATTGGCCCAAAGAGCCCTGATGACATAGTCGTTGGGCTTCTAACCACAGGTCAGCAGTTCAAAACCACCAGCAGCTCTGAGGGAAAAGATGAAGCTTCCTACTCCCTTAACCAATTACAGTCTCAGAACCCCACAAGGCAAGTTCTACTCTGTCTTATAGGGTCACTATGCGTCTGCATCCGCTTGATGGCAGTGAGTTTAGTTTGGGAAGTGATCCCTGGCACAGCCCTGGAGAGTGCCTGGAACTTCCCGGCACCCCCAATTCAGGGCCTGGGCGCCTTGCTGCCTCTGTGCCCTTGCTCAGAGCTTGGGATTGGTGGGTGGGGGTGGGGGGGAGCATAGGTGGGGAGACTCTGTAGTTACTTGGGCTAGCAGGTTCGGTAAGAAATGACTTCACCCCCACACCCAGGCTGTTAAGGCAAAGACAGGGCCACTGCAGTCAGTCTGTCCTAGGAGAGTGCTCAGAAATGCATCTTCTCACCCAGCCCCTCACTTGACAGACGGAGGGCTCAGAGAGGTTATGCAACCCGACCAAAGTCACACAATGTCCAGAACATTCCAATTTGAGTCAGCATTGTGTGAGCTGTATGTTCACACAGTTCGCAGTGAGGCTCTTGAGAGGGTGAGCTACTTTCGCTTTCTTCCTTACAGCTCTGTGTGGTTTTTGTTTTTAAGTTTTCACTGCAGTGAAATAGATAGAGCACCACCACGTCGGCCAGATTATGTTGTACAGTTAGCGTCACTAGCCTTTCCCGAGTTTTCCCACCACCGTTGGCAGGAACTCTGTATGGTTCATGGTTTAATTTTTATAAACACAAATAAGTAATATTTGTAATCAAGAAAACAAGTTCAAACTGTTAAAGGGTGACAGCATTGTTGGCAAAAGTGGCATGGAAATGGATGGAATGACAAAGTTTTGGTTGTATGTATTCCACCACCATAAAATAAAAATTTAAAAACAAAGACAAGGAAGTTACAGGCATAGAGTACCTGCACTCGAATCCCAGCTGAACAATTCACCTGCTGTGTGTTCTTGGCCGTGTTGCTTGACCCCTCGGGGCTCATCTGTACAATGCGGGGATTAAGAGGACCTATCTCATAGGGCTGAGTGGAAGATGCCAGGAGACAAGGTTTGGCAAACTACAGCCCACGAGCCAAATCCATCAGCCCACCTTTTGTTTGTCACCGACAGACAAGCTGAGAATCCCCTAAAGCAAAC